AACAAAAGTCTGTTAAGTTACTTCGTTAACCTTTTCAGCTGGCCCACTTATTTACAGAAGAGACACATGAGGTATATCACCAGCCAGCAATGGAACTGGTCAGAAACTATTTTTAACCAGAAATACTAGACATTGTTGGATCATAATAAGGCAGTGCTTTCAAAATGAAAAAGCAAAATAAAAGAAGAAAAAAGGTATAACATAGTGGAGAAATACTACAAATATGGAAGTTTAAAAGCAGTTGGTCACAATCTCAAAAAGAACCAGACAGGCTGAGTGTATTGAGATCCACAGTATTTCTGGAAAGGAAGTAGTTTGTAGTTTTTTATAATGTGAAATGCAAATGAAATACAAACTAACAAAAATCCAATTTCAGCTACTTTATTTGTCCCTAGGTAAAAAGGTCATGTCTCTTTAGTTTGGCTGTGTTGGGGAAAAAAAACTGCATCTCCGGGCCAGGGTCACAATTTGAATACCCTGTATATGCTCTGTAAGAAAATATTTCAACTAGGAGCAACCAGTATGCTTCAGAGTCCTGAGCCCGGCAGACTTAGTTTATATGTTTAATTTTCCTGTTTTCCCTTTTCCGAGGTTATTTTTTTTTTTCAGCTGATTTCTTTGACATGTCTACTGGATGGAGTTTAACATCAGGTGCCAGATATTTGACAGTGATTTTGATTGGCTTCAAAAAAGGCAGTGACTCTTCCTTAAGCTGTTACTGCGCTTCTTCTATGCCAGTTTTAGGCTTCTGCACTTCAATGACCTCTGCATCTTTCAGACATTTGCATACCTAGCTTGATGAATCTCTTTAAGACTCTGCTTCTATTGTTTGTGGTTTTCTTATCTATCACCAGTCCCTGCTCTCACTTGTTTCTTCAGGCATTCGGGCGCTGCCATGCAAGAGTGTTTAAAAAAAATAAATCAAGCACTGACACAACATTCATTCATTCATGCAACTGATCTCTTACTGATGTTCACTTCAGCCATTACTGACAAATGTCCTGTAGCAGCACAGAGACTAATGGTTGTCATCCCTTATGACTGAGGTTCCATCACGAACAGGGACATTATTCTGTTTTCTAATCACTGTGCAATGATTGCCTCTTGCTGCAGACAGCTGATATATCATCATCTGTGATGTCCTACATGGATGTTCTTACCAACTGACATCTCTGTCTTCAACGTAATTTCCTAGGGGACTAATGGAAGAAAACTTTTCTAGTCTAGTTAAAATTATCTACTCTGATAGAGTTGTAATCAAGAAAATGTATATTTCTGTCTTTCTTTAATTTCCTTAGATCTTGAATATAATTAAGAAATCTGTTTTGTGTCATTTTTCACCATGTCTTTTCAACGAGGTCTACCTGGAAGGTGAAGGTCCTTCATCAGTCAAATTTTTTTCTAATAACTTGATGGTATGTAGAGATTTGGGAAGCTTCAGGTGAATCAACCTTTTTTCCTGACTATCAGGCTTGCTATGTGAATCAATAAAGGACACACAAGTTTATAGTAATAATTGACACCAAATACCTAGGCTATTTATCCTGTGTATTTTCTTGCTCCACTGAAAAGTCTCTGCCATGGTCTGGGGGTGAAGGATTGGGACCGCAACACTGCACAAAGGGTTTGAGTCGAGGCAGAAAGTTGGGTGCAACGGCTCTTTTATTAAAGGTGTGTGTGGGCTTATATAGAGTTTGGTATGGAAAGGGCTGGGAAACTGGGTGGAGCATGGGATAGACAAACAAGGGAACAAATGAGGCTAAGAACTTCGGAGAAAAGGGAGGAACTGGGGAGGAACTGGGAAAGTAAAGGGCCAATGGGAGCTCTCTCCACACTGTGGCATTTTCCAGCCAATCATAGGGAGGAACAGGGAAGGCAGGGGACAAACAACTCAGGGCAAGCCTGGACGTGCCCAGGCAATACAACTGTATGGGTAACATACAATGAACATGTTTGAAACCACATAAAAACTGTGAAGTCCATATAATAAAGTCCTTTCTAAATTGTTGTATATCTTCCTCCATGCCTGGAACCATTCCCACTCTGATTCTGGTTCCTCCACAGTCTCCAAGAGCTTCACTATTTAATGGCTTTTTTTCTGTCTTGCTGATGTCAAATTTTATCACACTGATATACAGCTAACCTTTCCCTTTGTTGCCTACTTTTGTATGTCTAATACATGGGAATCCATATCTGATAGTAGGGTCTTAAGTTGTTAGAGTAAAACAAATACTTTAAATTGTGATTTTTCAGGTCTGGGTCAAAATTCTCTAACTAATCTGTTATATCTTTGATTTTCTTATGCGTACACCAGAAGAAGTACATACATGGGCAAAAAGAATAAGTAACCAAATGATTTCTTAGCATCAGAAAAAGTATGCAGAATTTGTCTATGGGTGGAATATTGCTCGGTTTTTAACTCTCAGTTTCTGTAAGCACTGTCTGTAAATTGTTGAAACACTCAAAAGGATAAGAAATATTGTTTGATATCAAGTCCTTTATACCTTTATCCTTTTAGGGAATTCATCCTAACGAAGGATTTCTATAGTTACTTTTTTCTAAGCTCACACATTTCTGCACATCCCCTTTTTTTAAAAATTAGCATATAATACTGCAGGTTTGCTTATTTTCTATTTATCAACTCTGACTATTACCATGATGGAAGTGTTTTTCATTACTATGGAGGACTAGAAGGGTCAGAATTACATAAAACTGGCTTGCTAACTCTCCCATTTTTTCTGGTGTTTTGTTTTTTTTGTGTGTTTTTTTTTCCCCCTTTATTTTTGTTTTGGTTTGGTTTGGTTTTTTTTGTTGTTGTTGTTGGGTCTGTGTTTCAGCATCACTGATGTACCCTCTTCTTCCACCCTGCATGTTCACCTTTGTCTCTTTCTTTTCATCTATCTCAGTTCAACTACTTAATTTTCAGACCAAGCCTTTCGATTCAGTTTCTAATTAACTTCTACTTCCCAGTTCTCTTACTCTTATTGTCACACTTTTCTGTATATCTTTTCTGCTCTCTTCCCTTGTTTCTGCTACTTCCTTGCAGTGGACACTTCCTTGCAGTGCCCACATGCAACCAGGCCCCACCTGTGAAAGGATTTTATAAGGAAATTCTTTACTTCATCTTGGACTACACTTGTGGCTTTGGGGCAATGGAGCATGTGAAGCCTGGCTAGTTGGGTGATAAGAAATGCTGAGGAGAAAACATTATTTATTTGCCAAAATAGAGTTCTCATCTTTTACAAAGACCTTTTAATGAGTCCAGATTTAGGCTCATGCTTACAAATTGGAACAGATGTCTTGGTCTCTAACAAACCTTTATTGTCATGGAGCAGTAGATACTTTTTTCTTAGTTTCTCTTTTGGAAGTGGTCACTCTAGGGACTTTCATTAGGCCTTTAGATTTTACATCAGGTAAAACCAGATCTCAAATTCCCGTGAGAAATAGATGCGTAAGTTTTTACTAGTTTTGGGGACAAAATGGGAATTAGGAATGAGATTTTTCTACTTTATTTAGTTACCAACACTATTTAGTGCCACCCTCTAAGCCAGTCATTTTAGGATCTTAATTTTTTTTAATAGAAATTCAGAATAATTCAAGGAATTAAAGTAGTAGTGTGCAATTGAAAGCTAGTTTTTTTAATATAAGGTTGGACAGTTTTACTTAGGTAATACTGCCACAAAGTATGTTTCTGTAAATATCTGTTCAAATCTCAAGAGCTTTTAATTTTGCTTTTAGGAAAAATACAGTCACCCCTGCCTCTCTTTTCCTATATTTTTCTTCTTCTTCTATTCTTTCTTCTTCTATTTTTCTTCTTCTATTTTTCTCCCTGTATTTAAAGCATCTTGGAAGAATCATACCAATATCAAAAATCTCAAAAGGGTATTGTGAAGGGTATTACATAAACTAACTATTATACTACTAAAGAATTCTAGCACAGTAATAAGTCACTGACTCAAAAAAGTTAAATGAACCAGTGATTTTATTTGTATGAATAAGCATTAGGAAACAAGTACACTGAATAAGAATTTAAGTATTCCAATGAGGGCTTTAACACAGAGATGTTTTGCTTTAAGAGGAATTGGTTCTGTAACTGTTTCTTGTAAGTGACATAATCCTGCGGATATTGGGGTGTAACTATTCCTAAGGCTCAGGTGAAAAAAAGCTGCCTTTTCTCTTTCATCAGTTAAATTATGAATAATTTTTACAGTGATATGGTAAAAAAAAGTTATTAGAAATATTTGGAGGACTGTAAGAAGAAGCTTTATGTCTCATAAATTATTTTCAATAGGATTTGAACTTATAAGATATCAAAGGCACTAAGGCTTTTAGGTACCTAAATTCCTATGGGTTTCAAACAGCAGCAAAATAGAAATTGGGGTTAAGATTCATCTAACCTTGCCCTAAGTATCCATAATAGAAGCATCTGAGCAAGTCTTCTGAGATTCCTTTAAATAACTAGTAGGGAAATCTGATCGTTTTTGGGTTGAAGAGCTAGTGCCCATCATTATTCATTTAGAATCATGGAGATTGGAAAGACCCTCCAGAAGTCCAACAGTGCTCAGTACAGATCTAATTAGGTGAGGTTGCTCAAGGCTGTGCTCATCCCCGTCTCCAGAGGCAGAGATTCCACCACTGCTATGAGCAGTGTGTTCCAGTATTCCAGCACCATAAAAATTCTAACACCTAATCAGAATTTCCCATGTTCCAACTTGTGCTCATTGCCTCTAATCCTACTACTGTGAACCTTTGAGAAGAAACTGTTGGTCATTGCTGCAAGAGAACAGAAAGGATCCCACAGCCAAAGCCCTGCCTGTAGCACCAGGCCCACACAGGCAGTTATTGACTTGCTAGGTGAGAACACTTCCCTAGTTTATCCCACTCAGTGACAAGCTTGAGCAGACACAACACGGGCCCCATCATGCCTTTTACTCTTGCCTTCACAGTTCCTTGGTAGTTCTTGATATGCTTTGCATAATCCCCAGCAGCATTAACAGTGCTCAAATGGAAAAGCAGTACATTAAGGAGCCAGAGGAGCCTCAGCAGTCCCTCTGCAGCATCCTGGCCAAGCAACAAACCTGAGATGCAAGCTTGGGTCAAGCCACAAGACTGGTTCCTTAGTCCCCACAGGTAGGAGTCTTCACTAACTATAACTTGCGTCTTCTCTTTTGTGTAGACAAATGTTTTGTGTGCAGTCAGCTCTGATAAATCCCCTTACAGGTCTTGTTTGTCCTCAACAGTGCCCAGGGAAATGAATCTCTTCTAAAATTGCAGATCTGTAAGTGGAGCAAAAACATTTTTCAAACCCTTCATCCCCAGTGTGATCTCCAGCTCTACCTCATTGTTCAGTTTTCTTGGCTTAGGCTCTTGTCTCAGCTGAGTTGTGTCAAAGGTGATGGTTGATGGCAGCAACTCTTCTCCTGTGCACTCTCACAGCAGATGATTTGAAACGTTACCTCAAGGCTCACAGTTGATGTGTACCCTTATGGAATAACAGCTAGGGGTAATGCTATTTGCCAAGAGGTTATCTGGAATACTTGAATGCACAGCAAATACTTGGGCAGTGACTCAATCAATCCTTGTCCTCTGGAAATTCCTCTTCAAAGCTCTTCAGTGAAGATCCTTACACATTGTGCTCAACATTAATTCCTCCTCTGTATGAGATACCTTTGTTTTCTGAGCAGTGAAGTAAACTAAAATTTTCCTTTGAAGTATATTTACTCATTTGGTTCCCATTAACTCACCATTTGAAGGAATAAAATCTTAAAGTTACACTGCCTGTGATACATCACAAATTATGTACTGTGAGAACGGTTGGGATTTTCAAAGGAGTTGTAAAGTGCAAAATGCTCTAATCCTATTGGTGTTTAATGGGTGTTTAGCATCAAAAAAAAAAATCTCTGTCAAAACAGGATTTAAATAGACTTGCTTGGGTCTATCATGTGTTTGAAGTCATTGAGTTGTCATTAGCATTTCATCATCATAAATTAAATTTCTGCTAAGATTAAAAGCGATGAGTTCTATTAACTTTTGTTAAATAAGAATTATCAACCGCACTATGTTGGAAATAGCAAAATAAGATTTCTATGATATCTGTATCTATGATCACTTGTAAAATGGACTTTGTCAGTTACAACTCTGTCCTTCTCTCACTAATTATAATGTGTTTCTAAATTCAGGTATGTTACATATGCTACATGGAAGCATATTCTCCTGAAGAAAAGATATTACTGAGTAGAGATCTTACCAGCAGAAACTAAATAAATGAAGCTGCATTATTAAGTTCAAATGTATTGAAAAGAAATTAAACATAGATATGTACATATATATGTAACTATATATGTACACATATATGTAAATTAGAAAGAATTACTTCAACAGAAACAGAAGTCTTAAGTATGTTAACCCAACAAATCATCATGGCTAGGCTTTGCGAACGAAGATTTGGGAAGGCACTATCCACATTTGTTACAGGCACGCTGGTGGCTTGGTGCGCTGTTGGGAACTCGGCGAACTACCATCAGACCTTCGTGATGCAGTCATCATCACTTTGTATAAGNATGATGACTATTCTATCCAATTATCATGGCTAGGCTTCGCGAATGAAGATTTAGGAAGGCTCTATCCACGTTTGTTACAGGCACGCTGGTGGCTTGGTGCGCTGTTGGGAACTCGGCGAACTACCATCAGACCTTCGTGATGCAGTCATCATCACTTTGTATAAGAAGAAAGGAGTTAACCCAACAAGACCTTATTAAAAGGTCCATACAGTTTTTAATTTAAAAAGGTGTTTGGTGATCAGCAAGTTCAAGGAAATGAAATCCCCTCTATTTAAAAGAACTATAGTTAACCCCCCCCCTCAAAACAAATCCCTACCTTCCCCATCTTTTAAAAGTAATAAATTTAATGGCTCAGATTTCAATTAGTGCTAGTTAGAAGTGCTTTGAAAGGCCCTAGTTGGCAGCAAATGAGTCTTTAAAACTCTCTATAGCCTCTAAGGACTGAGTTTGGCTGCTCAAGAATGCTTTTGCCTATTTGTAGATTTTATGGTTGTAGATTGTATGATTGTCTATATATGTCTCAGTTTTATTAATGTGATTTAAATGACTAAGCAGATGCTTAGTTTGGATTTTAACCTCTGTAGACTTCTGCTATTGATGACATATAGGATCAAAGGGAAAAAAAAAGGCAGGGATGTACGCTAGCCTGTTAGGAAATTATATACAACCCACTCCAAAGAAATGAAAATAGAGTGCTTATTCTAACAACAACTGGCAATCAGGAATGAAAATGTGATTCTTTTGAAGTGTTGCAGTAGCTCAGGGCATTGCATGGGAGGATATGGATGAGGGCTTACTCAAATAATAAGTACTTCAGTAAACTGTAAAACACATGTGCACAGGTCACAAAGTAGAATATACAGTAGCTACTGAAAATTTAGGAATAGCTAATACCAAAGTGCAGTAACGAATAAAACAATATTTTTCAGATACTTTCAGGTTACTTAATCAGAAAAACAAACAAATTATGGACCTCACCATTAGAAAACTAGATAGAAAGCTAAGCATGTCATCATCTCAATAGTTCAAAGTATATAATAATTTATTAATGAAGTATTTAATAACTTTAAAATGCATATAGTAATATTTTAATTTATAGGTTAATGTACTACATCATAAAATGCTTTCAAAGAATCCATTATCTGTCATGCAATATATGAAAAGTCTATACATACTATGATCTCCATTGCATACTCTGACAAGTAGTAATGTATTTCATGTCAAAAACCACTTCTGAATGTCACCATATGCTGTAGTATATCCTCATGGCTCAAATAAAAATGATGTCAAAAATCCATTTAAGAACGTTTCAATAATCTGTTCTGACTTTTGAGCCTTCATGATTTAGCAGCAATTTTAAGGATATGTCAACCCATAGCACAGATCTGTACTTCACAAAGCAGTATGGCTGTCTAGAACCATTTATCTTTTCTTTTATGCGGTCTTATTTAAAACTAACTGCTGTGATTTCTTGTCTAACATTGAAAATACCAAAGAAATTAGCTCACAAGAATATGGATCTGAAGGGCAAAGGAAAGAGCTTGACTGAAATATATTAAAATTGAGATGTGCCTAGAGAATCAAAAATAAGCTAAAATATTTATTTTCATGTTAATTAAAGATAGGATGTTTCCCAGACTGAGTATTAACTCTGGTTAGTTTGGGCTATGGGATTAATAGTTTTATTTTTAACTTGCGTGCAATCACAACTCAAAGGTTAATTCATGCTCAGCGAGAACAAACAAATGTCCCCATAGAAATAAGCCTGTTGTAATGCCTTCTGGAAATTAGTTATTTAACTACTACTTTACAACCTTACTCGTAAGAATTTCTGTAGTAGTGTGTTGCTACATTGTGAAAAAACTGAATTAAAGTTCATAAAGATGGTGTTTTTTCTCCTGAGTACATTAAACAGTGATCTGCTGAATATCAGTGGCAGTGTGTATATTATAGGGTGAGATTCAGAACTGGGAGAGGCTGTTGCTTCATTTGAATTCTGTGCTGGAGAGTGGTAGCAAAACACTGAGAAGCAGAGGGGAGAAAAGGGCAGTTGATGCTGCGAAAATCTGTTAAATTACCATTTAAAATACACAAATGTTTGTTTGTTATACAGCTGTGCCATGAGATTCACAAATGTTATCCTAACAGCACAAAAAACCTGTGATATTAGGGTGTATGTAGTGTGTAGTAATTTCAGTTTAAAACATGGGCCATATTGGATTAAAACTAGCCATTTACAAAATCTTGTGACCTGAAAGATAAGAAAGGATTGAGGGTGAGCTAGGAAGTCAATTTAACAAAAAATTTATTCTGTTATTTGAGCTCTGTTAAATATTCTACATAGTAAACCTGCCAGGCCTGGGAAATACTCTCACCTACTGTTTTATTCTGGAGATATGCAAATCTAAAATGGCTACCAAAATATGAAGAAAAAAATAAATTAGGGAATAATAATAGGGAATAAATTAAGGTTCTTCTGGTGGGTTTTTTGATTTTTTTTTAATATTATTTTAAAGCTACCTAAAACATGAGTATTTAACAAGAATTGTCTATGATTATTAATTCTAACAACTGCCTTGACAGCAGAAGTTATCATGAATTTTTGTTTCTTACATTTATACCCACTGATTCATCACTATCAAGTGTCTCAGTGCTGAAACTCCTACACAAGTTTTCTTCTGGATTTGACCTTATATGATAGAAACCAAAAAGAACTCAGCCCTGAACTAGTGGTCATCTTAGGACAGTGGCATTGTTTCAAGCACAGTTAGAAACATCCAAGGGTGCAGTTTGAGTAAAGCAAAGTAAGCTTAATGAAATTGTTATGTTTGAATTGCTTTAGCTGGAGAGAAATTCTCTTGGGTCCAGTGAGCTGCTGAGGGTTCCAGTGAAACTGGACAACCACAGAAATTAACAGTAAAAATTTGACTGTTCAGTTACTCGATGGTGGATGAATGATACTAGGAATGTGAAGGGGTACGCAGTGGTGTTTGTGTGTGAAAGCTGATTACTGGAGCTGGAAGAGAGCATGTCTGATGTGTCAAGAAACCTGCAAGATAATAGATGTTCAGGAGAAGACAACACGGTGTTTTACCGGATTAAGCCAGCATCAGATTGCAACAGAGGGCAAGAGTGAGATGTGTACATACAGAGGTTTATACTGTCAATTACTATGCAAATGTCAATGCAAATACAACTGATCGGGTGATTTTCCAGCTGAGCACTTTTCTGTTGAGAGGACATCAATACTGTTCTGCATGTTATGATTATGTGGGATGATGGATAGAGTTAAACCTAGAAGGGATTCAGAATTTTAAGGTAAAAAGCAGTTGCAACTCCCTGGACAGATGGAGGTCAGCGTGCTCTCCAGTAAAACGATAAACATCTGCTCAGAGAAATAAAATGGAGTGTGGAACAAAGTGGAGAGTACATGATCCCCCTCCTTTCTAATCCCAGGAGAATGGGAGAACATTGCAGTACTGAGACTGTTTGTACCTGACAAGGGAGAATCAAGATGTTCTGCTGCTGAAGCCAACAACCATGTTGAACCCTCTTCTCAGGTGCCAAACCATGATCACCATCTCCCTCCCATTAGGTACACCAATCAGAAATAAAAAGCATTTATGACTAGAGCCACTCAAACTCCACCCAAACATAAAGAAAATGACATAAAAGTAAGTTAGGGAGAGGGGGAAAGTGGGAGAAGACCTCCACCGAAACTGCTGGGATCAGTCAACAGGCAGACTCCATCTTCTCCCCCCCAGAGGGACACCTTGGGGGAAAAATATGCTCTATTCACATTAAATGCTGCTTTTGGGACTAGAACTTTTGCTTGTGCTTACCCCATAGCATATTAATTAGATTGTTTCATATCAGAGCTTGTGCATGCTTAATAGATGTATCAGTAGATTGCTGTAAAACATTTTTGCGGTAGACACTATCACTGACAACCTTCTAACCTTATTAAACTGTCACAATTTGTATTAATAAAAAGTATTATTCCATAAACTGTTAAAGTGCCTTTTAACTTTCCTGGAGGACCGATGAGCAAAAATCTGAACTCCCACCTTTTACGTGACAGATGCTATCTTTATGATAAATAAGAGTCATAATAAAATTGCATTCATCACATTTCATCAACTATTTCGGTGTGCTTACTGTGTAGTCATGCACCTTCCTCAGAGTTGCATTTAGTGATGAAAAGCTCTCTCTAAGAGCTTCAGACAAAAATATGCACCCTCTTTAGAAAGAAAATAAGTTTGCAACAGAAGGTTTTTGTCTTTGTCCTTTGAATGTGAATTTCTTCCTCCTAAACTAGACTATCAAGCTGAACTTCATCTATATTTTATGCAGATCTCTTATATTATGAAAGACATTGCTTGGGTGTGTGTGGATTAAACAGTTGATCTCATACTTGGCCATAAGGTAGTAATTATGTGCCTGGGCTTTCTATTGATATTTATTTTGTCATATAGTAGAAAAAAATGTGACTGCTAGTGATTTGGGCTAATGGTGTGATGTTTATCTTTTTACTAGTCTTGGTCTTAACTAGCATTTAAATAAGTACCTGGTCTGATATCCCTGTGCTTTATTAGTAATTTCTTTAATACAGAACAATGTCAAAATATAGGCTTTATTGACTTATGACATATCTTTTAGGTGTGTGTAGGTTTAAAGCATGGCCAGTTTCATAACACTAAAATAAGAGTACTGG